AGAAGAGCAACAGAAGAGCCGGAGAAGAGCAACGAGGAGAGTGAACAGAAGAGCAAGAGAGAGCACGAGAAGCAATAGGAGAGCACGAGGAGTGCAAACCATCTTTGAAAAGTCTCTTGAAGTCCGTGAGGCAATGCATGAACCTTGCAAAAACAGCTTTGAAAGACTTTATCCAAGACACTCTTTGAAAGGAAAGGATGCCTTTCAAAAGAAAGCATTGGAAGAAGGCTGCAAAAGGGTGTTGGAAAAACGGTGTCTTTTACGGATACCTTTGTCAAGGATGCTTTTTCACTTTTCAAGCATTGCAGGTGCCTTTCAAAGACGCAAGAGTGCCTTTGACAAATGCCTTTTTCAAGGGTGCCTTTTGAAAGGGAGGAGTCTCTTCTCTGCTTCCCTTCCATATCATTCTTACACTCACCATTTTTGAACTTCTGACTGTACTTTGGAGCTTCGTTTGCAGTGCAAATACTCACTTTTGCTTTTGAACTTCTGCACTTCAAAGCTTCTCGTCGCATTCGCTCCTTGCACTTTCAACTTCTGCTTCTCACTGTCCGTCTCAATTTCTACTGTGAACCTCTCTTCTTGCTTTCGAACCTCACTTCCAGTTTGAGTCCGAGTTTCGCCTCGTTGACGTGCATGTGGTGGCAAGATGCAAAGTGAGTGCAAGAGCGAGGTGAAAGTCAAGGGCTGGGCTGGATTCGGAAAGCGTGCAAAGCAAGTAGTGAGTGCAAAGTGAAAAAAGACTTTGCCATGTTGACTCTTGTCATTCTGCAAAAACGAATGCAAGCAAGTACAAGATGCAAGCAAAGTGCAAAGTGCTGCAAGAGGTGAAAGGTCGCTTAGAACTTTGTTTGCAGTTTTTTTGTTGTTTCGACCTTGTTTGCGTGTGCGGCCACTTGTCATTTTTCTTTGTGCCCTTCTAAGCATCATTTCAAATCTTTGGATTTTTTTTGGCTCGTTGCGATGCCAGTCTCCTTTCTTTTGTGGTCTCCAACTCAAATGAAACTTTGACATTCCACAATGCTGAATGGCTTGAAGCCATGCTCGAGCATGTGAAGTTGATTTGGGATAATTGTGCTGCGTTTTCATTCAGAACTGCCAATAAAACATGTCTTTTATCGAAACATGTTTTGTGTAAGATTTGAACACAGTCAATTTCCCCAGCAAGGCACACGCTCCAAAGTGAAAGTTGGAATGTACAAATTTACTCAACATGCTGAGTTGAAGGGCTGCAGTGCGCTTTGCTGGAAACTTTTCACAAAAGTGAGTTTGTTGAATGAAACGAATCATGAAAGTCAATGGAACTGTGGTGTTTTGCAGCAAGTGCCTGCTATTTGCCAGCAAATTGCACCAGCAAGCAACATCAACACCATGCAACCATGTTTTGCTGTGCATGCACATTGAAGCTGACATGACACATTTAAAATGATCATAAAAATACATAAACAAATATATATATATATATATATATATATAACACTACGGTGCGATCCTGCCGTGCGATCACGACGATGCGATGCCGGCACGTAAAGCTTTGCTTTCGGCCTGGCAAGGCAAAAGCTGCGGCTTTTCCGACTTGCGGGTGAAAACCGTGGATGATTTCTATGATGTAAAGAATCAGGTGTATGCTATACGTTCGGCGCCCACACCCGTGTAGCTATGTACTTCCGACGTACGATATCTTTGAGATAACAAGGAAGTGCGGCGTTGCCTTGAATATGTACGGTTTTTGTTGCGAACTGGAGGCTCCGTGAGCTTCTCTCACCCGTGCTTGCTATATTTACGTATGACATGCCGCTGCCACAGGGAATGGCTTGTGCCGCCTGGGGATCAAGGCTTGGGGAGGTTGAGCTGAAGGTCTGTGGTGCCCTGGGGTGCCGCGCTTCACGGCCCGCCCTGCTGCTCTTGGTGGTTCTTGCCAGCCATTTTGCACATGTTGCACGGCCCTCATTTTCGCCAGGGCTCAGGATGATTTTGCATGTCTACCCGCGTGCGTCGCGATGTCTTAGTATCTCGTCCCGACCTTCCGCTGTTGAAAGCCGGTGCCGGCTGAATCTGCCGCGCGCTTGGTGCGGGCACTTGCGCTGCCACCCGCTTGCATCGCCGAACGCATGCGTGCGTCGCGATGTCTCCCCACACGTTGGAGCCCCGCACGATCGACGAACAGTATCTCGTCCCGCATTCCGCTGTTGAAAGCGGGAACAGTCGAAACTAATGGGAACAGAAAGACAGGACAGGAATGAAATCAATCCGAACCAGTGGGAAAATCATCTAGGCGAGAACACTGCGGCTGCGGACGAAAAAGTGTGACAGCAACAGGAACCGATGGGCTGGGACATGTGGGAACGGTAGGAACACATGGGACATGGGAGAAATTGGAACCCAGGCGCACATACGACGGACAATTGCAAATGGTCGCAAAGTTTTCCAAGCTGGGAAAAACTCGTGGCGAAGTCGCGAACAAAGACGTTATAATGATGCATTGCGACGTTTTGCGCGCGAGCTTGGCAAGCGTTTGTATTAGTATGTGCGTCCTCGTTCGGTCGACTCGTGGAATCGCTGAAGGCTGGAGGCTTCAGGTTTCTATAGGGACTTTGCTTTGGTGTTCTGGAGGCCCGCCGAGAGGCCGCTGCGCTATTCAGGGGGCTTTTGTGCGTGTAGTCCCCCCCTGAGATGTAAGTTGGACGTGTATCCCCTCGCTATGCGTACAGGAACACAGGCACTCAGGTGTCTCTTTTGCTGCAGGGGCACAGCGGTAGTCCACTGCACTAAAACCTTGAGCCACAGGCATGGTTACATGGGGTCTTTCCATTATTCAGTTCCGGGCCGATTTTAGCTCCATTGAGGGGGCCTGCATACTCATCACGAGCTCACATGAAGCATGCAGCTGGGCCGCGCATCGCGCACCCAGTGACAGCTTACAGGATGGCAAGTTCCAAAAAGACACGTCCGGAGAGCGCGGACGCTAAACTTCATGCTCGGCCTAGGCAGGGGTGGCCGTCCGGCGGAGCGCGGACGTAAAAGGGCACCCGCAAGTACATACTGGGTGTCCGCTTTTCACCCGGTATCAATGCTTGTGGGTCCCATCATGCTTGCCTGCTGCGTGGTGACACGCAGCAGGTCGTCGGACACCCCGCGACGTTAACTCGTGGCCCTCGATCCCGGGTGGAGGTTAAACCCCGGGGGACCTCCCAATCCGTTGCTGCAGCAAACATGCGCAACGACCTCCCCTTGCATGGCGACGTGTCCCGAGGCCGACCTCCTGTTTGAGCGGGCAGGGGGCGGAGCCGGGCACGTCTACTACCATGCAGGCGGAGGTTGTGTGCATGTGCTACAGCAACGGTCGTGGAGGCGCTCCAGGAATAAACAGAACTCTCGCCAATTTTTTGCAAAGCTTCTTTCGACGATAAAATCTTCAAGTGTTGCCTTGGTGTTTTTGGGTTTAGGATGTACACAGAAAGGCAAAACAAGGAAAACGCAAAATTTCGTGTGCACCCCTGCGGTTTAAAATCCAGCAAATCATGTGCATTGTTTCGACCGATGGTGGAACCACGCAACTTTCCGTGAGCTATTTTTTTTAAGTTGTGCCGCTGTGCCTGCGAGCTGTTAGCATCGCGAACGCCAGCGACTTGGCGAATGCGTTTGTGCTGGTGCCCACCGCGTGTGTTTGCTTCGATTCCGCATGCATTTGTGTGTGCCGAGCACACCCGACGCCCGATCGATGATTTGTTACCAGCGCCGCCACATTCCGTCAGCTATTTTTTTAAGTTACGCCGCTGTGCCTGCGAGCTATTAGCGTCGCGAATGCCAGGAAGTTGGCGCATGCGTTTGGGCTGCTGCACACTGCGTGTGTTGGCTTCAACTCCGCATACACATGTGTGTGCCCGACACAGCCGAAACTCGACCGATGATTCGATTCGAGCGCCCCGCAACTTTCCGTGAGCTACTTTTTTTAAGTTGCACCACTGTGGCTGCGAGCCGTTACCAGCGCGAACGCCCGCGCATTGGCGAATGGGCTTGTGTTGCGCACACCCGCGTGTGTTCCGCTTCAATGCCACATACAGATGTGTGTGCGCCCTCAACTACCTCACTTGGGGACATGGCACTGACTGGTCCTCTCTGCCTTACATTCTACAAGAAGGGCTCGTTCGCCCCCAGTCCTGGCAGAAGAACGGGTTTCCTAGCAGTGGTTTCTTCACCCAGGCACTCAACCATGCTTGGTCCGACGATGCTATCAAGCATTGTCTGCGCAGAGCACTCGCAATTCCCAAAGGGCAACAAGGGCCCATTATCCTAGGACAAGCAGTCACGCCGCTTCTGCCGGCCGTGATTTCCGGTGGGGGAAATTGGCGTTTGCATGCGGCCTGCAGAGTTGCTGGCGCCGCCCGAAGTCCGGAAGCCTACTGTGTAAAGAGCTGTTTTGCCAAGTTGGAAGGAGTGGCTGTTGTTGTGCCCTTCTGATCGGGTGCCTGCCGCCTTTACATGCAGTTTGCAAACAAAAAGTGCGTTGCAGCCTTGTGAACTGCTCGTTGCTTGGAATTATGAAGCGCTGAATTCCTCGAGTTTCCATGGGCTCGTGTGCGCCTGTGTGGTTGTACTCCAAAATTTGAGCTCCGTTATGAGTTCTTGTGCGCATGTGTGGTTGTGCTCCGAAAATCAAGCCCCGTTGTTTGCAGCCATCTTGATCGAAATTGCTGCAGTTTAGGAAATTTCTGGTACTGCTGCCATTATATGGCCGAAGGGTGTATTGAAGCCATGTGAACAAGGACACGAAGTCGAGGAGGAGGAAGAGCGGGCATCCACCAGACGCGACATCCATGGCAACGATTGGAATGTTTTGTGCATTCCGCACCAGGGCCAAAGCAGGGATGCAGTGATTCAAGCCGAATGGGGCATGAACAAGTGCAAGGTTGTAAACAAAAAAAATTATAGCTACGTTTACTGCCGCTGCAACGACGCCGGCTGTCCGATGGTTGTGAAATACACCATGGAGGACCAAGTGGTGAAAAGGGAGAGCAAATTCGAGCATCCGTTACCCAAAGCTCTCCGAGACACAATTCGGGAAGTGGCGGAAATACCTGGAACTGCGGCTGCATCCCTCGTGACATGGTCCCAAGAGAACCCTAATGCGGCCGATGCTGACATCCCAACCTGCAGCCAGGTGAGCCGACGTAAAGCCCTACAACGGGTTCGGCACCAGGAGAACAGCATTAAGCAGGTCCAAGCTCTGGTATCTTATTTGCAGGAGCGGGAGGTCGGTCAGGATTGGGAATTCGAGATTCTGGCGGAGGACATGGCCCAGGGCATCAGGTGTTTTTCTTGCGGGTTCTACATGAGTGTGTTCGAAGAGCACAAAACAGCCATCAGACAGCACGGCCTTCGGTTGGGGTGCGATGCCACGCACGAAATCTCGAACTCTCGAGTGAAACTTTTTGCTTTGGGGTGGTTAGCACAGCATGATGACGAGGGTGTTATTCGGAACACGTTCATCCCCTTGGCTTTTGCGCTGGCACTATCCGAAGACAGCAATGCAACCGAGTTGCTGCTGCAGAGCACCGACAGGCATTTGCAGGAAGCATGTGGGTGCACGTTGAAAGAGGCCAAGGTAGCTCATCTTGATGGGGGCACCGGCCTAGTGAAGGGATTCCAGGACTACTTTGGTACTGCGGTGCCTCTAGCCAGGAGTCTGCAGCACATCAAGCGGAATATCCAAAAGGAAGGTGTCAAGAAGCTGCGGAGGACGAGCTGGTGGGACACAGTGCAGCGCTGGGTCAGTTTCAGTGCTTTCCTCCGCAATGACTCCGTTTTTGATCGCTTCTGGCACCATGCCTTAGCAATTCTCCGGAGGCACGATGAAGACATGTTCGAGCAATATTTGGCTTCAGACATACTGAGCCAGTCGGGTGGGAAGTGGACGGCTGCTTGGAGAGCCGGCCCTCTGGAGCCGGGCTATGGTCCGTACGCTCTCAACTCCGTGGATTCCTTCTTTAAAATCCTGGACCATTATGTGCCGGAGGAGGCGGTTCTACCCCTGATAGATGTGGTCTCCAAATATGAGCATGTCGGGCGGATTTTCCAACACGAACAGAAATGGTCCGAATTGTGGCTTGCCGTTTCCACGCTATGTACACCCGCCATTTTGGGCGAGATCCCCAACAGTTTGACCGAACGCTTGGAACATTTCCACGGCAAACAAGTTCGGCGCATGAGCGTAGCTGGCATCAAGCGTTTGCTGGACGGTGGCAAAGACATCCGGGTGGAAGTTGCCGTGGATGGTGCAACCACATCGGTCTTCTGCAAGTACCACCCCGACGACTTCGATGAGCAGAAGATGCGCATATTGGCCACATTGGAGATGACAAGCGATGCCGAGGGGGTGGACGCGAGCTTCTTAGCCCTTGAAGCACTTACAGAAGAGAAGGATGGGACTCACTTCCATCCTCGTGTGCTTCGAACACTGTATTCGCAATTCACCACAGTGTACCCGCACGGTGCAGCCACCTTGGAATCGCACCAAGATTTCGGTCAAGCTGGGATGACCGAGCATTATGCGCTGTGCCAATTGGAGAAAGGGGTTCTGGCTTTGCCTGACAAATTTTCCAGCTTGAAGAAGCAAAGCCACCCCACAGGCAGGCCCAAGGGCAGACCCAAAGGCGTCGCGAAAAAAATTGCGAAAGCCCCAGCTCGTGGAAGAGGAGGAGGCCGGTCAGGGAGGGGTGGTCGTAAGCGCAAAGCTTCGGAAGCAGCTTTGCCGGCCTTGGAGTCGGCGGACGACGTCCTGGCAGACTGTTTTGCGTTGGATCCATTGGAGGTGGCAAGCGCAAAGGGGGAAACCGTGCTTCGTCCTGATCCCGCTCCTGGCACACCCCCAGACTTGGCAGGACGCTTCTCCATCATGATGGAGGAGGGCATCTTGCCCGCCACCACCCAGGAACAGCGAAGACACAATGTGCGCACCCAGGGTACAACTTACGGGGTGCCCCCTGGATTGCGAGAAGCCCTGGACTACGGGTATATCCATCCCAACCTCCCACCCCCAGCAGGGCTGGAATGGAGGCGCACGGCACATAAAACAATGGAGCTGGTAGTACGCGGAGGCTGATGCAATGTTGGTGGGGGTGGAGGCGGGGGCAAGGTGGTGGCGGTGATCCGAACACTGTTCTCCAAGGGCCTGCAGCTCGGTCCGGTTGCCGAACCATGCCGAAGCGTGGGGACTTTCATGACGCCTCTCATTCAACCCAGCGTTGCATTTCCGATGCACCTGGCACCCCCATGGCTTCTCGACATTGCAGGCATACCGCTTGCAGTTCCCTGGCGGCGCCCTTCCGATGCAACTGGCACCCCAATGGCTTCTCGACATTGCAGGCATAGCACGGAGTTTGCAGGAATCACAAAGAACTGGCACCCGTGCACAGCACGGCTTGGTACGGGCATGCTCCAATCCGTTCGTTGTCTATGATTTGCCCAACGTGCAGCAGCCATTTGGCCCTGTGCGCCTTACTTCGTTGAACCTGTGTGAAGGTGAAGTGGTTGAATGTGCCGCCGTATGTCAGTCAACCGGCCGTGGTTGTCCTCATGCCCTGAAGCAATGGCATGGCACGGCTTGGAGGATATGGTCCCGGTGCTGCTGATCCTGGGCACAGGGTCTCTTCTCGTCTTTGAAGCCGATGCGGATATCAGCGTAGTGGTTTGCATATCCTATTCACCCATTCAGGGTGCATCCAGTACGGCATTGGGAAGCATTCTATGCGCAGCTTTTCCTCTCTCACAGAAGCTGGTTGCAGGGAGCCATGCAAGTCTGCTGAAGATGGTGTTGCTAATGCGAGGACTGTTGGTCGTGGATTGCGATGATTAGAAAGATTACATATTGTTCCCCTGCCATATTGACGAGAGAACAAAAACCTACCAGCGTCATCTTTGGCAGCCAGGACGTCAATTGTTATGGGATTTACATGGAAGGTCGGTTCGCTAACGCAGATTATGCCATCATGGAAGCCTGAGCGCATCCTGTGTGGCATGTTTGCAGCGTGGCAATGATCAAGCAGGCAGCTGCCATGTATGCTGATGGGCACGTTCTTCTTGAGCCTCGCGCTTTCAGCTACGGAGGCGGGTCCGAGTTTGCAGATGCTGCTTGAGATGCACGTTACACCAATAGTTAGCACGAGACAAATGGACAGGTGCTTCGTGCATTCGTGGATTCGCCCACGGTGCGGGACCTGGCAGAAGTCTGAGACTTTTCGGTGCAACAGTGTTAGAGGATGTTTGTCAGCTTCAGGTGATCTTCAACATTGCAAATGTTACTATCGGGTCGACCATCGTGTTTGGCGACTTGAACCCTGAGAAGGCAGCCTTAGTTTTCGGAAGGACTATTGGTTGTGTTGTTACTTCAGATTTCTTGCTTGTCTCTTTTGGCTAGCTTCTGCTGGTTAGTGAGTTCGGTGCAGGAACAAATCGCCACATTGGCTGAGGCCCGGCCCTGAGAGCCTGAGTCCATTCCCGCGCAGTTCGAACCCCATGGCTACTCGGGCACAAGGTGGTGGACGAGGAGGATTTCTCTGCAGAGGAGGCCTCTATTCGAAGATGCTGACATCTAAGTTTCCATGTTAATTAGCGGAAGCTAATTGCGTTTACATGCAAACCTGGCTTGGTTGGGGCAGGTCATAATTCAGCAGGGAGCACGGAGCTCGGCTGAGTGAGCAGTTTGGTCCACACGAAGATTCGGAGACATGTGACAGGGTCGCGACAGCAACATGTTCATCACCTTGAAGGGCCAAGCTGCCTGCTGAGCTTCATGCAAAAAGGTTTCCAGACAGACATGTGATATATCGATGCACGATATAGCCATAGGAGAGCGCGAGCGATAGACTCGACTTTCGACTGCCTTTCACTATTTTTCAGGCTGTTGCCTGCATCTCTGGCGACAAGGGCGAGGTTCAGGCCCAACTTCATCAACTGCGGGGCAGGGAAGCCTATGCAATGGAGCAATATGTCAGGTGAAGACCTACAATATAGGGGACTTCTTCGGAGAGATCGTGCTGCTGCTTGGAGAGCCAAGAAAGGTTCGACAGAGCCGTGATCTCAGTGTTCGGTCTGCGACAAGGAGCTTCCTTTGCTCGCACCGGATGTGTAATAGGTGCTGGGTCCTCTCAGAGACTTCTTGAAGAAGAATCTGACAAAGCAACGGCCTCGAGGAGGTGCTGTTACTCATAGGCGAACCCACAGCCACTTAGGCACTTAAGGCCAACACAATGGCTTGTAAAGGCAGCGGTCCCTGTACAACCGTGCATTTGTGTGCTGAGCGGTGCTGCGGCTATGTTGCTGAAGAGGGTTAGGAAACCGTCCAAGTAGTCCAGTCCGGCTATTTGGCTACTGGTGGCAACCATTGGGCCTTGGGCATCCCCGCGTATCAGAACCACATGTGCTTTCGGCCAATGTTTTCATGCTACACCGTTTCGGATGGGCCAGCATCTAGAGAGGCATGAGAGACTGCTTCAGAGAGCAGGCGTTCGCAACAAAAGCCGAGAGATTTCGAGAGTTGGCAGGCCTCCTGGCCAATGGCCTCCGAAGAGCAGAGGCGCAGCCTGGGGACTTCAAGCCCCTGACGTGGAGTAAAGGAGCTTGAGACTCAATTCGACTCTTCTCTGCAGGCCGGCTGAGGAGCCTGGCAAGAGCAGCGTTTTGGAATCCACCGGAAAGCTGGAAGCTCGGCGCAGCTGTAGTTCTACAGTGAGCTGCCGCTGTCCTGCCTAAGTTTTCGGGCATCCGGCATCGCGCATCGTGGAGGCCTTTGAAGCACTATTGCAGCATTCAGGTCTGTGCTGGCAGACGGAGCTCAAACGGCCCGCGGAACCGAACCGAGGTCCGCACTTCTCAGAGTGAATGGACTGTGTTGTGGCTACAATGGGCTCTGGGTAGTCGCATGTGTTGGGGATGAGATGAGGAAGGCTATATGAGTTTAGGACTCACATGATCAGCCTGTGCGATGTATGTCTGGACTTTCGAGCAGGTATGACCGTTCGGCCTACTCTGGTGGCGAGGATCCCGGAGACCGGCACGACAAACTGCGTGCGGATGCGGAGGTGCGCTGGGGTGGCTTCCGGCGAAGTTATTTTGGACTGATGACTGTCTTGTCCCTTGGGTTCAAGACTTTGCTCCAAGCAAATTCGCGAAACCGCAACGAGGGTAGACAATCTGACTGCAACCACTGCTTGCCTGGTGTGTGAGATTCGCAGAGAACCGGCTGAGGCTCACTTCTTCGACTCGCCATTCGAAGCCGATCGCGTGTCGGCCCTGCGTGTGAGGCTCAGGGCATCCAACCCTTTTCACCCTTTCGCCTGCGTAGTCTACAAGTCCGATGCATGGTGTAAAGACCGACTTCTGAAACAATGCGTGGCCTGTGCTGATCTCACTTGCTTGGTACACTGGCTGAGCATGGGAAGGATAGCAGCGCTGATCCGATGTTGACATGACATGCGCCCTTCTCCCATTGTAAGCTGCTTTAGTTTGGCATTCACGAAAACACAAACAAATGACACCAGGATGCCGGTTCGAAGGCATGCCGAGTAGTACGGCAGGGATGGGTCGGCCACGATGAAAGTCGCGAAACCATAATCAAACGACGGGCTGTCGCAGTCTTTCAGAGAGGCCGGGGATAAGATTTGGGATGAACGATGAGCTGCTGTTGAGTGGCAAGCTTTCGGCATGAATCCAGTGTGTCATTCACAGCTCTGCTGTGGAAGAAGCCCGAGCTCACAAATTTCCACGCAAGAAGGCTTGCACTGCCGTGTGGATTTTCACTGCTTCTTCCTTGATGCACTGTCAGAGATTCTACGGAACATCCTCCCGGCGATGATTAAGCATCTGCAAGTTTCACGCAGCTCCTGGAAGGACGGACGGCGCTCAGGTCGTCGGCCGAGCGGTGAGGTGCGACACTTCTTGACACTGACATGTGAGATGGATGAGAGGTGCTGCATCTGACATGTTTCCCATATCAACCACCATCGGCTGGGTTGTTGCAATGCACACTCATACTCCCACAAGGGGTCGGTCCCATCGCCTTGTACAAAGTGATGGTGGTGGAGCTTGATAGGGGCAGTTGGCGGTGGAGCTTGGTTGCGTGTGTAGTCTTCGTTGTGGTGGACGTCGAGAGTGCGGGTAGAAGTAAGAGTGAGACGTTAGTTGCTATTCGCCGCTGGAGTGCTGAATGTTGATGTGGTAGTGACTGGTAGTGGTGAACTGAGTCGGTCTAGCAGTGTCCTCGTCACCGATGGAACAGTATAATACTGTCCTCCTGCTTTGTTCCGTGGTCGTGGCATCATCATCGGATCAGCAGCAGCAGTAGCAGTAGCCAGCGCAGCAATCGCAGTCGTAGTCGTGGTCGTTGTCGGGGTCGTTGTCGGGGTCGTCGTAATCGTATTCGTACTTGTAGGGGGTCGCGGTCGACGTCAGCCCCCCTCATCCCAAAGTCCTTGTGACGGTCGGAGTCTACGTCCGAGTCCTAGTCCATGTCCGAGTCCTAGTCGTCGTGTTTGTGGTCGTCGTCGTCGTCGGGTTCGCAGTAGCAGTGTCAGTGGTAGTGGCAGTCGTAGTCGCAGTCGCAGCAGCAAGAGTAGGAGCAGGAGCAGGAGGAGCAGGAGCAGGAGCAGGAGCAGGAGCAGGAGCAGGAGCAGGAGCAGGAGCAGGAGCAGGAGTAGTAGTAGTAGTAGTAGTAGTAGTAGTAGTAGTAGTAGTAGTAGTAGTAGTAGTAGTAGTAGTAGTAGTAGTGGTAGTGGTAGTAGTAGTAGTAGTAGTAGTTGTAGTAGTAGTAGTACTACTACTACCACTATCATTATCATTAGTAGTAGTCGTGGTAGTAGTAGTGGTAGTAGTAGTGGTAGTCGTGGTAGTAGTAGCAGAAGTAGATAAAGTAGTATAGCGAAGAACACTTACCATCCGATTATTCCTCGAGTTGCAGCGGGTAATCGCGAATGTAAACCGGATAGCTTGACTAATTAATCGATTTGGAAGCTCGGCAATGGCAAAAGCTTGAGCAGGAGCGCATGTTGTGCATGTGTTGTATATGCAGTAAAATCCACTATGTACTGTACAATATGTACACTACGGAAGGCTATGCACTGTATGTACGGCAGGCAGCCTCAGGAATGTATGTAATGTAAGAATGATTATGTAAGGTATGTGCTGTACATGACGTCGTGCAAAGTAAGTAGTTTGCGTAAGTGCCAGTGTTGCGTTTGCAGTGTGTGGGCATGGTATGCCAAGCATGCTATAGGCATGTATGCACTCAGCAAGCAGTCGTTTTCCTTTTTGAGTTGCAGATAACATTGTACATTGTTTCAGAGGACCAGAGCCCTGGGTCTAGGTAGACTTTGCAGAGAGATTTTGAAAGGTGCAGACTGCAAAGTCGCTGGCCGAGGATGCAAATCTGCCTGCAAATGTGAAACCAGTGGTGGCCAGAATCGTTTACTCCGCGAGGAGAACTTTTTGGCGGCAGGTTCTGCTGTTGTGAAGTTCACGTCGGCAAGGAGTGGGCAGAAGCGTCAACGAGCTACGAAGTCAATTGTGTTGATCTTGCTGGCGCACGCTGCAACGGATGACTGCGAAAACCAGTTTGCTGTCAGTGTTATAAACGCATGTCGGCGTTCGTCAATATTCCGGTCTGGCGTCACATCTTGATCCATGCAAAGACGCTTGCATTACTGCAGGATTTACTCCAAAGATGCCGGCGATGAAGACAGGTTGGACCAGGTGATCATATTTGTCTTGGCCGAGTTCATGTCAATGTGGAGTGAAGGCTGAAGGCAGTGCATGCTGAAGGGTTGGAGCCCTTGCTGCTAATGCCTCAACAGCTTTTTGTTG